CTGAACTCAACAGGATGCAGCTTAAAAACTGTAAAATACAAAAAGTGAAAAAGAGCTCTCATTAATATTAATGACAACGTGCTGCTACTTCAATAAAGACGCAGTGACTTTGGAGTGAATGATTCAGTGTAGGATTTGATTTGTTATATTAAGGTTTTAAATCTGCTGCATTGACATGAATTAGAGGTGTTTATTAAATGTAATACATTTACAATAATTACACACAGTAAGAAGTGATTTGATTGAATGAAATGTGGGATTTTGACAGGTTAAACAGGATCAAGTCATTAAAGGCCAGTTTATTGTGATATATGAAGGAAGTGTAGGTTGTCTTCACTAACATCCTGATGTTTCACTTAGAGCTGAGGCTTCACTTAGTTCACTTACTGTACAGCTCAGTACAGCTCCACCAGACATGACTATCCTCAAATGGACACTAATTATGGAAACCAAACATCTACAATCACTTCAAATCTGACTTTCACCATTTCACTACATTCATAGTCATGTCAGTTTTATTGATACAGCCCAATATGACAAATGACAGATTGACATCAGGAGGCTTTACAGTGTGAACAGAGTGCGACACCCTCTGTCCTCACAGCCTCCATCCAGAGAAGTCATGTCACATGTTGCTCATGTCGTTTGGTGTACAGATTGTAAAAACCTCTGAGACTCATTTGTGATTGAGGACTATAGAAATCAAAGTGAGCTGATGTGAAATGTCAAAATAAGCTTCACCGTGGTCTTTGTCCTCACTAATGTCTCATCAGCAGCCTTGTATGTGTCAACACAGACGACAGCCTAAATAAATGTTCTCAAGACTCTAATGAACGTCCTCTGTTGGATCTCTGAGAGGACAGTTCAGACACGTGGTCACATGGTCATCACTAACATCATCATACCTGTGTGGTCATTCATAAGGCCATGCTGACTCAGTTACAGATATTTAACATCCTGTGTTGAGTTCACAGTGAGTGACCATGACAGCAGATCACAGGAAAGGTTGGCTTTAAAAGTTCATCATCCCAACTCTGAACTGGAGAAGAGTTTCTGCTACTGTGCACCGTACTATTGTGTGTGTGTGTGTGTGTGTGTGTGTGTGTGTTTAGCTTGAACAGGCTGAATTATAATGAGTTTGGGTCAAAATGTTGGAACGTTATCTTCATGTCTAAATCGTGTATATACATCTGTGAACCTTAAAGATGAAATACTTCCTCTGTCATCATCTCTTCCAAAGAAGACAGTGCTTGACTGTCATGACATGTCAGCTTCATTAAAAGCATAGCTGCAAATTATATAGACAACAATAGATCAATAGATGTAACAACACACACAGACAACACATCTGTGATCAGTTCCCTAATTTTATTTTAACATTTTTTTTCCAATCTTTTCCTCTTTTCCAATTTCTCATTTTATTTTATGGAAGTGATCAGTGTAAGTGCACTTGTCCTTTAAACTCAATAAAAAATAAAAGCTAACAAAATAAAAGACACCTGGTACATTCATTACAGCCGTATCAGTTTGTAGAACAGTATTGAACAGTTAGAACAAGAGGCTGCACTGCAACAAGCAAATCACTCCTTGTGGCTGCCTGTGCTTTTCCCTGTCCTCGCAGCTGCAGCTGCTGTACACAATTTAAAAACTACAACACCCATGATTCATGTAGGAACTGCTGCAGCCAATGTGCAGCCGTGGGAGCTGCAAGACGACTCAACCACCATGATCAGTTTGTAGTGTTTTATCAGGCAATAACTACTCCAGACTCTGCTCTAGTGTCATTTTCGGGACAATCAGGGCAGGATTCGGGACAACTGTTTGGATTTCGGGACTGTCCTGAATTTTTCGGGACGTCTGGTCACCCTAGAGGGAACAGAAACACAGTTGAACATCAGCTCCTTCATATTCCACTGGATGAGACAGGAGGAAGTGACTTAACATCACAAAATTGAACTTGACATTTCATTTCCTCCTCTGACCCTCAGGAGCCCCTCAGGGCTGTGTCCTGTCCCCCTGACTCTTCTCCCTACATGGACAGGTTCATATCTAGTTCCCTTACCATCCTGAAGGACACTGACGACATCCCCACGTCTCATATCCAATAACAACGAGCACAGTTAGAGGGAGCAGGGAGTCACTTGGTACCACCTCAAAAACCTCCTGCTCAGTACGCCTTATATCCATCCAAATCCCACAACACTTAGAGCATGGAAGTATTCCACAATCCTTCAGGACTCCTCTGAACATCTGGATGAAAAATCCTTCTGTCTGCTGCTCCATTGAAAAAAAAAAAGATTTCAGCTTGTTCATTCAGTGACAACAGTATCATCAGTTATATTTCTATACTTTCATATTTTACTGTTTTCATACAAAAAAAGGCATAAATGTTTTGTAAAGGAGGTAACTCAAAACTGCTTCAGGTGTTGACGAAGGGTTGTAAGGCTGTTGGACTGTAGGGTTGTAAGGTTGTAAGGCTGTTGGACTGTAGGGTTGTAAGGTTGTAAGGCTGTTGGACTGTAGGGTTGTAGGACTGTAGGGTTGTAGGACTGTAGGGTTGTAGGACTGTAGGGTTGTAGGACTGTAGGGTTGTAGGACTGAAGGACAGCTTTAGCTCAGTGACTCTAATGGTGAGACATGAGAGTCCCAGTGTCAGCTGAGACAGCCTCCAGCCTCACTTCACCCTGTAAACTCCACTTGTTTCTTCTGTGACTAAAGAAAAAGAAATCATTCACCTCTCCCATGTCGCCTCATTTTAACATAAAACACAGGAAGTTACCATCTCTCACATTTTCAGGTAATGTTTGTCGTATCTGTCTACATTCCTTTCAAAGTAAACGTGTAGCAGCTTTTCAGTATTTTCTAGAAGAGATGACCGGGTGGGCCAGCAACTCACGTGTGACCTCATGACTCTGCGAGGGTTCACACCCACGGAGTTTAAAGCCTGCGACTCTGCACCAGTCAGTGTGAACTGAAGAAGCTTCTTGGATGAGAAATGTTTTCAAGAAACTGAAGCAGGTCCAGTGCCTACGATACAGCACTTAAGATCACCATGACCTGGATGACTGAGAGTCGTCACCAACATGTAAGAGACAAACTAATGGAATTTGCGGCCTCGACTCTCTGACAGACAGACAGGCAGACAGACAGGCTCTCTGACAGACAGACAGACTCTCTCCTCGGCTCCTCCCAGCACATTTAACAGATCAAGACGTACAAGATGGCGAGTGTCAAACTCTCGTGACTTTAAACCGTCACTGGAATGTTGTGTGCAGCAGTGACATCACTTGAGAGGTCGTTTGGTGTGAGGTCAACATGGAGGAAACTAAAACATGACGAACAAGAAAATAAAGATCACAATGTTTTTATTGTCGTGTTTAACAACATCAACATGTACAGAACATTTATAAAAACCCACGCCTTTTCATGTCACCTGAAACAATCAGCTGATTTAAAGTTCACAGGGTTCAGTTTGGAAACACTGACGGACAGCTGGGCGACATTTCACTGCATCATCTTCTCTTCATTCATTAAAGGTTCATTCCACCTAAAAACAGCCAGCGCACATCTTTTAAAAAGCTTCAGTCTCACGCTGCTCTGAAACTTGACTGGCTCAGATCAATCCAACCATGGCTGGTCCAAACTGCCCAGTGTGAGCGCCCCCTATAGTCTCACTGTGAATTACAAACTCTCTGAACACCACGGAGACCGAGCTTGCAGTTTGTTTCAACGTTGTTACCTTGAGATGGTGAGTGAATCATTTCATTATCTCCAGATAACACAGCTCTGTTTCTGTTTAATTTATGTTGTTTCACGAGAAAATTATTTTTGTTTTCTGGAGATTTTGAGATAATCATAAATTATGACTTATCATAATTATTATTATAAACATTATTTTTAAAGGATTCATATGTAAATTTGTATATTTCGCTTTCATTGTTTTATTTCCTGTGTGTCAGAAAACAGCCTCGTCCCAGAAAAGATTTTTTTTTTAATGAAAATTTTGTTCCAGACTTTTGTCAACTTGGTCAAATTTTTACAAAAACATCATTTAAACAGGTATAAAAGGAGTCGGCGACATCACAGGTGGTGGGAATGCTGCTCAGCTAGGGTTTCTATTTTATGATAAATTCATTAATTTCCAGAGAGAAATATCATTATTACGAGACTGAACTCAAGATTAAATTCATACGTTTATGAGAAAAAGACATGATATTTCCAGATTAAACTCCTCAGCTCATTGAGGAGTATAAATTAACAACCCAAACGAAGGAAAGCTTCGTCCTCCAACAGAACGACACAGTTACATTTCTGACTGCAATAATCGGACATAACGAAATAATTAACTTGAGATCTCGAGATAACGGCATTCAAAGAAACATTTTTAAAAAGCAAGCACGGCTGTTCCTGTATTTTGAAGGACACACCTAGAAACTATAAATCCATTAATTTAACAATAAAATCTATTTTTGTACAGATTAATTTAAAATTTGACACCAAAATAACAAACAGACTTTTGTTTGGTATCTCTATAAAATAACATCCATACAATCTTTACATATGCAGTGAGTAACATTAACATTATCGTATATGATAAATAGCAGATAAATAGTGTCTCAGTGATATCTGGAATAAAAACTATTATTAATAATGATTTACTGATTTAAATCTCTGTCTCAACCAATCAGAACCTGCAGCTACAATGATAGGCACCATGATGACATGATGGACCGCCCCTTTGTGACATCACAGAAGCGGTTGTCATGATGGTCAAATCATCACTGCAGCTGTTTAAATATGAAGTGATGATTTCTGTCATAAATAATGTTTTCACATGACATGTAGCCTACTGTTCCATGGCTCTTAGCTCTGACTGGAGGCCACCTGGTGGTTACTGCTGCTAACAGCAGGGGTTCATTCTCCAGGCCGCAGGCAGCACGACGCCACACGGCCTCATGGCGTCATGCACACAATTCTCAGGTGTTACGTGACATTTCCTTTGGCTGCCTCTCAATAAAAGTCACTCTGTGTTTGTCCAGTTGAGGATTTTACTGTGAAGCAGCAGCTGATTTAAACTGTTCATGAAACGATAAACAGGTGAAGCTGTCACCTGACTGATGTGCAGTGTTGGGCAGTGATGTGATAATATTATATATTTCATTACTGATTACACTTCAGTAAAAATATTACAGTCACACTAACGACTGCTACTTTTGCCGTCATCCTGCTGATTTGAAATCCATCAATCAATCTCATCCCCAGACTCGTTTTTGTTATGTTACTAAAGCCCCTTTTACACTTCCTGTTCCAGGCGGGAATATCGCTCAGTTTGGCCTCCTCACTGTTCTGCATTAAAGGTACGATCACAGAGCGGGGGGGCAGAGATGTCCCGACTTTAATCTGGGAGCGAAGCTACTAACAGCGCTGAACTGATGTCTGTTCAAAAGGGACAGCCAGCAGGACGGAGGACGTCCATGGTCTCGGGTGTGATGCTGTGATGACGTGTTATGTGTGCGACCCACCGCGGGAGATTTAATAAGGTAGCTGTTAGCTGTTAGCAGTTAACTCAAAGAAGAAGAAAAGTAGCTGATAGCTGTTAGCGGCTAACTCAAAGAAGAAGAACAGTAGCTGTTAGCAGCTAACTCAAAGAAGAAGAACAGTAGCTGATAGCTGTTAGCAGCTAACTCAAAGAAGAGGAACAGTAGCTGATAGCTGTTAGCGGCTAACTCAAAGAAGAAGAACAGTAGCTGATAGCTGTTAGCAGCTAACTCAAAGAAGAGGAACAGTAGCTGATAGCTGTTAGCGGCTAACTCAAAGAAGAAGAACAGCAGCTGATAGCTGTTAGCGGCTAACTCAAAGAAGAAGAACAGTAGCTGATAGCTGTTAGCGGCTAACTCAAAGAAGAAGAACAGTAGCTGTTAGCAGCTAACTCAAAGAAGAAGAACAGCAGCAGCTGATAGCTGTTAGCGGCTAACTCAAAGAAGAAGAACAGTAGCTATTAGCAGTTAGCAGTTAACTCAAACAGTGAGGTCCAGGAGCTCCTTACCGTCGGAGCAGAGGACGAGATCAGCCACCATATAACAGGGACGCTAAATGATTGTTATTGACATGTGATGTCATTGTTATTGTTTATAAAGAGCTGCTGACTCTTTTGCTTCTGTGATGTCATCATGCTGTCTGACATCACACTGAAGAGACATCATGTCGCCGTACCTTGGTTCTGCTGCCTGAAGAAGGGACGTGGTAGCGGCTCTATAGCGCCACCTCTGTGTAAAAAGGGTTAAGTTTAATGTTGGGTTGACGTCCAATGGGAGACGCGCTGCGACTCGACCAGTGTACCAGAATTTTACTAATAATTAAAATGTCTCCTGACATCTGCAGATGATATTTCTGATGCGTGCTGCAGATCAGCGCCGCCGACCGCAGCACTGACCTCACAACCAAAACCTTTAAACTTCTCTGTGATGAAAGGTGAAACAATAGAAGATCCCTGATTGGCTCCAGCACATGTCCCAACCACCTCCACAGAAACTGTCCAATCACAGCTCTGCAGTGCCTCCTTGCCCTTGAACAAACAGCCAATGAAAAACAAAGTCTCAGCGCCTCCCGACCAATCACATGTCATCCTGTTGACAGCGCTCTTTCTTGACCCCGCCCCTTCCTGTTCCTCTTCTCCTGTGGTGAGTGGCTTGACTCCGATGATGATGTCACGCTGCCTCCTCCTCCTCCCCTTCTCCTCCTGTCCCCTGCTCCGCTCCTCCCTCCTTCACCTTCTCCCCTCCACCACCAGTCTCTTCTTCCTCACCCACTGTCTCTTCTTCCTCCCCCTCCTTCATCTCCCCAGCCTCCTGGGTTTCTCCTTCACTGGCCTCCTCCTTTCCTCCTTCCTCTCCTCCGTCTGTCTCTGTCACTGCTGCCTCCTCCTCTGTCTGTCTCTCTGCGTCCCCATCTGCCTCCTCCTCTGTCTGTCTCTCTGCGTCCCCATCTGCCTCCTCCTCTGTCTGTCTCTCTGTGTCCCCATCTGCCTCCTCCTCTGCCTGTCTCTCTGCCTCCCCCTCTGCCTGTCTCTCTGCCTCCTCCTCTGTCTGTCTCTCTGCCTCCTCCTCTGTCTGTCTCTCTGCCTCCTCCTCTGTCTGTCTCTCTGCGTCCCCATCTGCCTCCTCCTCTGTCTGTCTCTCTGTGTCCCCATCTGCCTCCCCCTCTGTCTGTCTCTCTGTCTCTAGTGTTTCTCCACTTTCTGTCTGTCTCACTTGTTTATCTCCCTCTCTTTCTGTCTCCCCCTCTGAGTGTCTCTCTGTCTCCCCCTGCTGGCAGGTCTCAGTAGTATCTGTGTCCTCGCAGCCTGTCTCTGTTTCTCTTTCTTTACCCAGCTCCTGGTCCAGCTCCTGCTCCTGGTCTTGATCTGGTTCAGGTTTATATTCTGTCTCTGTCCTTGTCTCCAGTCCCCGGTCCTGGTCCTGGTCTAGTCCAGGTTGACATCCTGTCTCTGGTTCTGTTGAGTCCAAACCTGTTGGCTGAGATGGGAGAGACTCCTTCCTCCCTAGACCTGCAGACAGACAGACAGACAGACAGACAGACAGACATGAGTACTTTTACTCTCAGTACTTTAAGTACATTTATCTGAAAGTACTTTTACTTCAGCGAGGTTGTGAATGCAGGACTTCTTGAATCCTTCTTAAACCACAGACACGACTCGTTACCAGGGAAACGAGATCACATGACATCACTGTGTGATGTGATGTCAGGAACATCAACATGCGACTGCTCTGTACTGATATGAATATATTTTACACACACACAACAACACAGTCAAAGTGTGCACTGGTGCACGTTACGCATGACACGCGCTGCCTTATATACATGAGGAAACATGATGATGTCACAGTGAAGCTGACCTTTGACCTTTTGGATATAAAACGTCATCACTTCTATTTGAATCCTGTCAGACATTTGAGTGAAGTTCTGTCATAACTGACATATGAAGTCTTGAGGTATGGTCACAGTGACCTTTGACCTTTGACCCTTGACTACTAAACTCTAATCAGTTCATGGTTGAGTCCAGGTGGACGTTGGTGCCAAATGTGAGGAGAATTCCCTCGAGCTGATCTTCAGATACCGACTTCACAAAGATGGCAACAACAATCATGATAATATTCATCAGTATTCTAACATTAACACTGCTAATATTAATATAAGTAATAATATTATAAACATTATCACTGAAATGTTTCCTAACACCAGCACTGATAATAATAACAATGATGTTTACCTGCGGGGGTCAGGACCAGCGCCTGCAGGATGTCAGAGAGTGAGACGATGCCGACGATACGAGACTCTTCATCAACAACAACCAGCCTGTGAACCTGCACACACACACACACACACACACACACTCAGTAGTTATACCTCTATGGACACAGCTGTGACTCATCCCTGATATGATTCACATGTTCTCTGACCTCTGCCTTCACGATACGGTCCACGATGGTCTCCAGTGTTTCCAGTTTGTTGCACTTCATGACTCCTTCAAAGTACTGGGATCTGTGTCTGAGAGCCTGAGTGACCGTCACGTCCAGGTTGTTGTACGTCTTCTCTGCCGCCAGGTTCTGCACAGACGGACAACACTCAGGTTTCCTGTGTTTCCTCAGACAGTGAACACAACGATCATGTTTCCAGAGTTACTCACAATCACGTCAAACTTGGAGTAGATGTCCACCACTCTACCTGCAAACACAAGACATGATCATTGAGCCACTGGGCAACAAATCACACTTTATCTACTGTGCTGTTGCCCATGGTTACCGTTGTGGTCGACGACGGGGAGGGCGGAGACGCGGCGGTGTGTGAAGACAGACAGCGCGGTGATGAGCGGTGTGTCCGGGTGGATGTAGGCGATGTTGGCGTACGTCCCCACGGCCAGCTCCTCCAGAGACTGCTTCATGAAGGCCGGCATGGGCATCTCACACACCTGACAGACAGACACACACACACACACACACACACACACGTCCTGCTGTGAGACAGATGTCCTGCTGTGGACAGCAGCACAAACGCTGTAGAACATGGAGACTCACAAAGAGCTGCAGGAACTTGAGGATCCTCTTGTGAGTCAGGATGTAGAGAGCGTTCCCACTGACCGGATCGATGACAGGAAGACGGTGGATCTTATTCTTGATCAGCGAGTACACTGCTTCAAATATACTGTGGGGGGACAGGTGGAGGGACAGGTGGAGGGACAGAAGGGGGGACAGGTGGAGAGACAGGTGGAGGGACAGGA